CAGGGCCATAGTAGATGGACCCTGATAAAATGGGACAGAAATGAGGAATAGAATTCAAATTTTAAAAAAGTCCCGACTTACTGGACCAGTCGAGACTAGAGGACTCCCTGAGACTATCGCCCTGAGAAACTCTTTAAACCTTGAACTGAAACTATCCTCTGAGGTTACCTTTTAGCGAAATAACAGATTGGCACACAAAATAGAGGATATTACCTATGAGTGTGGTGCTCCATTAAGAATTCATCTGTATGAGACCAAAAGGCCAACAATTACTCTAAAGCAAAGATGAGAAGATAAGGGGGCAGGGAAACTGGAGCACTGAAAATGCAATGACTAGAAGGCAATTAAAGAGAATGTTGACAGATTGTGATAAATGTAACTAATGTCACTGAACAATTTGTATAGAAATTGTCAAATAAGAACCTCATTTGCTATGTATACTTTCACCAAAAACACAATATAATATTATTAAAAAAAAAAAAAAGAGTGGGAGGTGATAAAGTAGAGATAGTGAGTGTGGACAGCTCTTTGATTAGTTTTCTGTGAAGCAAAGAAAGAAATGGAGTGATAGCTGAAGGAGAAAGTGATGTCATGGGAGGTTTTGTTTGGTTTGGTTTTAAGATGGGAGAGAGTCCCTGCACGGTGCAAATGTTAAGTGCTGGACTACTTGCTGACAGGTTGCAGTTTGAACCCAATCAGAGGCACCTCAGAAGATAGGCCTGGCGACCTGATTTGGAAAGGTCATAGCTTTGAAAACCCTATGAAGCAGTTCTACTCTGCACACGTGGGGTTGCCATGAGTTGGAATTGACTTAACAGCAACTAACAATAACAACATATTCTAGAGATGCAGGAGAGAAAAAGGATAACTAGAAGAATGAGGTCCTTGGATAGGGAAAGAGGATTAGGTCCAGATCAGAAGTTGAGGAATTGTTCTTCAAAAAGGGGAGAGCCGTTTCGTCTTGTGAAGCAAGTAGAGGGAAGAGATATGCCAATGTGATTATGGTTTTGGTAGTGGGAAGATGGGGGATTTTAGTCTGATGGGTCCTTTTTTCTTAATGAAGTATTAGCGTCACTTCTTCTGTGTTTGGGTTCAAAAGATTTCTCTACTGTAAGATTCATGTAGACAAATACTAGATTTACTCTGATCTAGTGCTTTTCCTAGAACATATTCTTGAGTGCTCATGTATATGTAATCTCATTAATAAAAAATATATCGTTTATGGGGATATGCTATTGGATTGGTGGGCCCTGTAAATGATTTTCTAATGGGAAACCATTAGAGGGGACAGGTTTATGTCCTAGTGGAGGTCCTGGTCCCATCACCTTTTTCTCTCCCTGGCCAGAGACCAGTGATTCTGAGCTCTTGTTTTATGACTAATTATATCTTCAGGATGACACAAATTGTGTCGATGATGATCGTTAGTTTTCAAAAGAAATTAATTTAAAATATCTTCATTTAGAAATGAAGATGAGCCACATTGCTTTAGAACATGAGGTGTTATGAAGCTAGACTAACAAAGATGGTTGCAAAGAGACTGGAAATAATAGCTTCAGTATTTATACCTCAGTAATGCCATCACTGTTATCTCTACTTGGAGATAATGCTCTTTCTGCAGCTAGTCTGTCCCGCACCTTCTAATCCACTGTACTCATTAACATTTGGTTAATATTTGCTAATGGTTAAGTGCTCAGCTGCTAACCAAAAGGTGGCAGAAAAGCCCTGGCAATCTGCTCCCATAAAGATTATAGCCTAGAAAACCCTATGGGGCAGTTCTACTCTGTCATATAGGGTCACCATAAGTAAGAATCAACTTGAAGGCACATAACAGCAACAACTGTCAAAAAGCATTCAGTTGTTATGCTCAGAATAAAGATCAAACTCCCCAGCATGTCATTCAAAATGCTCCCCAGTTTGACCCCAATCCATCTTTGGGACTTTATTTATCACTGTGTGGAATGATCTATTTCTGGTTCATTTCTCTATTGTATAAACATCTATCTCAGAACTTTATAACTGAGAAATGTTCAATGAACATTTGTTGAATGAATAAATGAGTGAATGGATGAATGAACCACAATTCTGAAGGTGAGCAATGGAAAAAATTCTGAATTGGTATTCAGGTATTAGCAAATTTGATTTCATTGCCTTCTCTACCCTTTTTCTCACATCCTTTCTCTATTTTATTCCTTCACTTTTCTTTCCTATTCTTTTCATATGGAAAGAAAGAAAAAAGAATAAACAATGGGGTGGGCTGGGATTGTTTGTGTGGGAAACCCAGCATCCTTTCACTCAAAATGCCACTTCTTCCTTGAAACTGTCCCTAATACTTTCATCTGGAAGCAATCTCAGCACGGAAAGAGTACATGTTGGAGTCGGTGATCAGGAAAGAAGTCATGGGGGGTAAGATTTGAGTTGGACCTTGTACAGCAGTTATTGTTTCAATAAGCAGAGTTGGGGTAAGATCCCTGTAGGAAGGGTCTATACTTGTTCTACTGGGTCTCCAATGCTTATTAGAGAACTCAGCACAAAATCAATACTCAATATATAATTCTTGAATGAATGAATCAATAAATGAGCAATGGCAACAGAAAGAAAACACTAAATATGCCTGGTGAACAAGAAGGTGTATTTGGCTGCACCAGAGAGTTCTTGTGGGGGATAAGGTTGAAAAAAGCAGACCTCAGCCAAATTGAAGTGGGCCTTGAATCAGGGAAGGTGTTGAAGTGCTATACCTGGTTGGTATCTCCTGCCCTTTATCCCTGTAGTCTAGCTGGTGAACTATTCACAGAGGAATCCTCTATGGTGAGACAGGTGGTACTAAGGAACAGAGGAATTGTTAAAGGAGGAGATAATTTGTGGCAGTGAGGTTCTCCCAGGGAGGGATATCATTAAATTGCACTTGAAGTTGGCCCTGCCTGCAGGGGAATCTGTTGTTGGTACTTCGTGGGGTAGACTCCAGCAGAGCAGGCAGGAGATGACCGTGGAAGGACTCACATTTGGTTCTTTGGACCCATTTATCCTCCCTGGGTTAAGGCAGGGCAGAAGCCGTGTGCCCCGGTCGATGCCCAAGGCCCAGCCCCATTCTCAGTTCACCACCCTTGTCAGGTCCTTGTGACCCTCCCCTCATGGCAATCTCACTCCAGTCTGTCAGGAACAATCTTCCTACCTCTTCTTGGCAAGCTTTCTTAGGCCCTCATACTTGCTCTGAAATATGAATCACTCCAGGAAGTTTTCTCTGGGGGTGAGTGGCTCTCTGCTGCTCCCCTCTTCCTCAACACCTGGCCAGCACTTGGGTCCTCTGAGGTTTCCTCCCCCTCCTCCACCCTTGCCCAATCTCTCACATTCCAATCTACCTTAGCTCTGCCCTGTTCATGTTGACTTTTAGGTTTCTCATTAGTCTGAAATTTTTATCCTGTCATGTGTTACCTTTTATTTGTTGAAAGTGTCACAGTATTATGTTTTGAAATATCCATTGCTGTATGTTTCGCTTTTGACTGCTTGGTTTTTCTTCCATACAGCCCTCCCACCCTGTCAGATAGGACTTTGCCTCAGAGGAAGGGTATGTGGATTTTCTTTAGACTAAGGAGGTTATTTCTCAGCTTGGATTTTCAAACTGGAGTCAAAGTATATATACACAAAAAAAGTATAGCTTTCAAACTTAGGCTTTCAAGAAATATAAGACGGTGGTCTCAGAACTCTGAAGGCTGTGAATGATTTCCTCAAGGAATTCAGCTTGGAGGATTAACTTTAGAGTTGGGGGAATGAGGACAGGATGTAAAGAAAATTCTTGTCGTATGAAAAGGAAAAACACAGTCACAGGCAGGTAATACTTTTGGTGAGTAGAATGAAAGAGAATGGAATGGAAAGATGTGAGAGTTCTGCTCTGTCGTTCGAGATTTAAACCTGTGAATGGTGGTGAGTGACTCAGTTAAAAAAAGCCAAAAAACACACTCATTGGATTTGGAGGGAATCCAAGAACATTAGGGTTAATTCCTGCTTCCCTGGGAGTATGTCCTGATCAATAAGCTTTCAAGGCCAACATGGTGTGGGAAAGGTTGAGAAGCTGAGATGGAAGGTGATGCCTCACCGGGAGAGAGTGAGTGCTGAGAGGAACTGAGGACCAGAAGAGGCTTGGATTTGTATTGAAGAGGTTTCAGAGTTCTAGGACTCCACAACCAGCGAGGCCATGGCCACATCTGTGGACATCAGCAGAACAACGCGCAAGGGACCAGGTGGCTTGAGTCACTCTTCAGTGGATACTCCTGTACCCAGACATCATTTTTGGAAGGACAAGGTGAGAGAAAAAACCTTGTCAAGGCGGGAAAACTGAAGTTTTGAGAAATTATATGTCAGAGAGTATTTAAAACGGAAAACTGTGTGGAGATGTATTTACCAGGGAAGATCTTGTGTTTTCAGTTTTCGTTGTTAATGGGGGCCTAAGAGAAACATGAGTTTGGTGATATGAAATGAAGAGAGGTACTTTTCTTTTGCACATCTGAATCATAGGGTGTAAATTTTTGACCCTGCTACTATACTAAATGTGTCTTGATGGTAATTCCTGGAGGGGCTCTGCTGGCACTTCATCATTCCCTTTGTCCAAAGGGCACTTTCATTCACCTGAGAATTTCAAATGGATCAAATATTTTGGGGGCAGAACGTATGATAAAATCTACTCATGTTTTTACAGCATTACACTGTTTAAAAATACCTTTCTATATTGTGTAAGTTAGGTGAGGGAATTAGTAATTTGATTTTACATATTAGACAATAGAGGTTTTGTGAGATGAGGCAATTTGGCAGCTAGAGGTAGCTCTGTGCTCAGCCTTCAAATCTTCTGTCTCCAGTTTCACTGTCTGTCCCCTTGCACTGCCTCCCCGGACTTCACTGATGATGTTGAGACTGATTTCTGAAGTTTATCTTTCTCATGTCAGGCAGAAAGGGTGGCTATTGAGGTTGAGTTCCCGAGTCACCTTCACCCCTGGCTTCCTGTACCTCACCCCACAGCACAGTGAGCGGCTGAGCCAGGCTGCTGTGCTCCACGTGGCAGGTGTAGGTTCCTCTGTCTTGAGGAGGGACTCCCAACACCACCCAGGACTGGTATGCGCCATTTCCACTGGGAAGAACATCTCCCCCTGACTCAGATCCCTGCACTTCACTGGCCCGAGTCCAGCGCAGACCAATTCCTCGTGGGTAGAAGTCATAGGCCAGGCACTTGAGTGTCCTTTTTTCACCCTGGGCAATGTGGCTGGTGACTGACACAGAGGGAGGATCTGTGGAGGGATAGAGCATGGATAGTAAGACCTCGAAGTAGACTTCTTCCTGCCTGCATCTCTTGCCACCCTGACTCCTTGGTTGTCAGTGATTAGCAGGGAGTTAGCTCTAAGCTTTGTATTTGCCTCCTCTAAGAAACTGTTATAAAGAACAGGGATCATGGAATGTCCATGGCTACTTTCTTGCCAGTCCTCCCCACCCACTATGTAGTGACTTCTGATGGCAACACGTTGTGAATGCCCCCAGAGACTTTCCTTTTTTCCCCAAATCTCCGAGTAGGCTTTGTAGCCCCGTCCTTCCTCCAATCTCAGCCTGGACCCTTAGTTTTATCTGTGGCCCTGTGCATCAAACAATTCCCTGGTCCATCCACAGCCCTCTTTCTTGTTACTTCCCAACTCAGTGTCAATTTATGGCAGTCAGTCTTGCTCACATTTGCTCATTTTCATCCTTCCAGGACAGACATTTTACACACCTGCTTTCTCTCTTCAAAACCAAGCCATGGAGACATAATAGTAGAGGAAAATGACTATGGGATGTTATACTGTGTTCAATAGTGCCCACCCAGAACCTCAGAATGTGGCCTTATTTGGAAATTGGGTCTTTGCAGATGTCTGTAATCAAGTTAAGATGAGGTCATACTAGATTAGGGTGGGCCTTAATCCAATATGACCGATGTCCTTATAAGAAAAGGAGAGGACACACAGAGATCCAGATACAAAGGGAAGACTTCATGTAAAGATGGAAGCAGAGATTGGAGTGGTGGGTCTACAAGCCAAGGAATGACAAGGATTACCAGGAACCACCAGAAGCTAGAAAGAGACAAAGGATATTCCTTAGAGCCATCAGAGTGAGCGTGGCCCTGTCGACACCTTGATTTTGGACTTCTAGTCTCCAGAACTGTGAGAGAATAAATTTCTGTTGTTTTAAGCCACTCAGTTTACGGTAATTTGTTACGGCAGCACTAGGAAACAAATACATATTTGAAATCTGGAATATGGAATTCAAGTCCCAGCTTTGCATTTTATGGACAGTGTTAACCTAAGCCCTCTGATCCCTAGCTTCCTCATCTTTAAATTGGGTGTGAAGGAAGTCATACTATTGAATCAGTGCCTTTCTTGGCCTATCCTGCCTGAAATGTGATGGATGTTCTTTTTGAACCCCACATCTTGTCCTCCCAGGGAAGAAAAGAGTCCTAGGATGTGAAAGCTGAAGGGCCTAAGGGACTTTCAGGGATGATGGAGACCAGTAGGAGATGTTCCTCTGGGCTCACAGCCTGAGGTCACCTTCGTATTTCTCAGCTCGGTACTGGGGAGCAGGACATAGGAAGCAGTGAATACCTTGTTGGTCCAGGTAAGTCTTGCTGTGTTTCAGGTACCGCTGCAGCATTCCTGGGCACTCCTCCTCCAGGTAGGCCTTGGCCCGCTTCACATACACTTTTTCTGCCTCCCACTTCTGCTTGGTGTTCTGGGCTGCTGGGTCCAAGGGGACCCAGGCTGGAATTTCTTTGTTGAACTCGATGAAGTCTTGTCCATCATAGGCGTACCTCCAGAATGCTCCACTGCTTTTGTTATTCCGAAGCTCACAACCAAACATTCCCTGAAAGGTGTGAGACCCTGAATCCTCCCCCAGAAACCCCACAGGAAATCAATCATCAACTCCATTTTATGCTTATTCCTACACAGTTAGCAACTCAGTAGAAGGAAAGAATTTTGAAATCTAAGCATACAATCCCTTTATCTTGGCATATAGGTCATTAGCCAAGTATATAGTGGACAGGGAGAGGGAAACTGTTTGGTTTGGTGTTTTAGGCTAGTCTGAGATGAGATACATTCTTTCTAGCTGGGAAACTTAAGAGAGCTATAGACTATAGATAGATTTCTAGCCCTTCTGCTTCTTTGTTTGAATATACTATGAGTTCTTAGAAACCCAACACAACCATACTGAAGTGCGTTTCCAAGTAAATTGGAAATTATTTTTGGCTTTATGTAGGTAGTAGGAATCTCTCATTTTCTGTCAATTCTAAGAGGACTTGCTATTACCTCTTGAGTAAACATAATGTGATTACTTCTCCCTTTTTTGGCCAACGTTTGTTATCTTTATCCCGAATCTCTTAGGGAAGTGAAACACAATCTCTTCATTTTGATTATAAAAGTAGATGTTACACAATACGGATTAGTGGTATTGACATAGGCTCTGAACTCAAGTTATCTGGGCTCAAATCCCAGATCTCCTTCCCCCCATTTTGCATGAACTTGAGCCATTAACTCCTCTGTGCTTCAATTTCCTCATCTCTAAAATGGAAATGACAATAGTACCTATTATAGAAGATTATTATGGGCATTAAATGTGTTAATGTATGTGCCAGGCATATAGTAAGTGCTAAATAAATGTTAGCTACTATTATTGTCCCGTACCCTGTCTTCATTTCTTTATCCTCTTCTCATAGTTAGTCACTTCAACATTTCTATTCCAGCCAATCAAAATTTCTCCTGGTGTCCTTCCTGGGCACCGATGACTTAAACTCTTCTACTTCTGACACACAGCCCAGGCCACTTTCCTTACCAGGACCTCCCATTCCACATCCTTCTGATTTCTGTGTAACTCTTGCCTCTTTTTGGAAAACTTATCTCATTTGGATTCAAATTCCATGTAGCTTCTTGGGCATTTTTGTACTTAGAAGCGTACCTTTTTACACCCGTCTATAATCATTGAACATCACCAGGCTTGAGGTTGGCTGACTTGGGGGGTAGGCAGTTGGAATAGGCAATGTGGTTCCAGAGAAAGAGTGCAAGTTGGGAGACATGAGAACTAGTCTCTGTGCTTGGTTCTGTCACCTCCTCACATGCAAGTACAGATTACCTTCCCTGTATCTGCACTTTATGGACAGGAGGATCTTTATGATTCCATGTAACTCTACCAGCCTGTGGTTTTAAATTGACACTTACTGAACACTTAGTATGGTCCATGATTGGTGCTAGGTGCTTTCTATTCATTCAATAAATTTCTATTGAGCAAGTATTATTTGATGCACACAGTCCTGGTTGATGGGGGTACAGGCAAATCAAGATCGACTCTTCCAGCCTTCATGGAATTTACATAGATAAGTTGTATTAAAGTTAATTATCATGACAATTCTGGGAGGCAGGTCTCAATGCTCCAAGTTTTGCAAATACAGCCCTGATAATTAAGTTACTTGCTCACTGTCAAACAGCTAGTAACTGGTGGAGCCATGGTGTGAACTGCAAGGCTGCTACTTTCCACCCAACACCCCTGGACATGAATGAGACATACACCTTCAAAAGTGGGATCAGCCTCAGATGGGGGCTGGGGTTGGGGAGCTAAGAGTCAGAATGTGCCTGGATAAGAACTGACTCTGACATCACTTCCTGTGTGAGTTGAGGCAGAATAAGAGAAAAGTAAGTGTGTTGTGGGGTGGGGGAATGGAATATAGAAATGTCTGTGAATTTCTACTTGTGCCTCCTGTTCCTCCTTTGGGATAAGGACTATTTCCATCCTGCTGACTCGTTTCCACTCATAATTGTAAAGTTGCTTCTTCAGCTAAGACCTTCCACCCCAGCAGTCCTTATCCACTGACCTTCTCTGTCCTCGTAATAGTCCATGATGTCGTTCAGGGTCACCATGAAGATTTCCTCCCTGGCCTTCTGAAGTTGGCTCTCCTTCTCCCAGTCCTCCATTCCTTCCAACTGGCTCCAGGGTTTCAGGGGCTCAGCCTTCCTGCCTTCACTGTTGTAGTGGAAGAAGGCCTGGTCATTGAGGTAGGCAATGGCCTGAAACCTGGGGAAGCCTTCACTGGGCTTGGACAGCCCGGTGTAGAGAAAGGTCAGAGAGTAAGGCCCTGCAAAAGAGGAGAGAACTTTGAGGTGTGGGATTTATCCACCTGGGGAGTCCACTGTGTGGCAGCAGAGAGCCAGGCAGACTTTCCTCCTTAGCTCTGTTTTCCCTGCAGTTAGCCTCACACCATTGCAGGCTGTCTTGAATGAAAGGGCTCTACGTTTATTCTAGGGATATTTCAGAGACCATTCTATGTCTGTACTACATCATTTCCTCTTCTTGGTACATAAGAAGGTAATATTTCTCAGTCTTCTTGTAGGTATATTGGAACCATGTGACTGAGTTCTGACAAAGGGTAATGTGAGTACAAGTGATCTTTTCTTCTGGTTTGAGGCCCTTATGAGCTAGCTGGCCACCTCAGTCTCTCTCCCTTTAAGGCAAGAACTGTGGAGGCCACGGGATGAAATAGAAGCATCCCAAAACGGGACTGGATCAGCCTGGATCCTTGAGTCACTCCATGGAGGCAGAAGAGAGTTTCCTGATTTTCAATGGACTTTACATAAGCAAGAAATAAACCTTCATTGGATTAAACCCCTAATAACTTTATTTATTACTGGAGCATAACCCAGTCTAACCTGACAAATGCAGATAGTTAGAAAGTGTAGGAAGGGGAATTTTATAGAAAATTCAGAAAATGACCCAGATAGGATCAGCACAGGGTAAGACTAGGATAGGTCTCAGGATTCCCAGGGCCATACCTTGCATTTTGGTATGAGGCAGGGGATGGGTGGGTAAGGGGGATGAGGCATTTCCTCTAATCCATAATCAATTCATAATATGATTCACATCAGTGTTAGTTAGTAGTGTTGAGGTCATTTGGAAGATTCCTAGTTCAAGTACTGAGATTATTCTTGCCAATTAGTTTTTAAATGAAGTTGTTATAAAACTAACATAAAATGAATATTCTGACAATTTGTAGATGTAACAAATTTTTAAACTTGAGCAGAGTTTAAAAATAAGCTTACATTTCTTTGCTTTGAAAAGTTATATGTCATAAATGGCATCATTCCCCTGTCCTAGAATTGACTCTGGGTGTTCCCAAGCTTCAGCCCCCTCTGCTCTTGGTCACTCACCTTCTAGGTACACTGTAGTATCTGTGGGGCAAAGGAATGATTTCCTTCTAGCACCATCCCTCCAGTTAACCTGACTTCACGTTTGTCCCTTGAGGTCTCTCTGTCTTTCCCTCGGAATCAGATAGGTACATCTAGCCATTGGAAGGAGGGAGGGAACAATAGTAGAACCTCTACTTGTGTAATTCCTGCTCTGTCCTGGCTGGGTGGTCCCTTAGCCTCTCTAGGTCTTAGTTTTTTGTTTTTTTCATTTGTAAACTAATGGTTTTAGATTACAGATTATTTAAGGTCTTCAGTCCAGAAGCTCTCTAAATGCTTCTAAAAATGTGTGAACTGGGTTGATAACAACCTTGGATACTTATTACTGCAGTACTTATGGGAATCTAAGTGGCATCAGAGGCCCTTCTCCCAACCCATTTATCCTGTCTTTACCTTTCCTCCCAGTCTTCTCTAGTACCCATCCCTTGCTTTCCCTACTCACGGGTTTGGGTCTCCTGGGGATATGAAGGACCCAGAAGGAGCAGCAGGGAGAGCAGGACAGGCATCAGTGTCCCCATCATGCCTGATTGGAAGGCGCTGGGCTTCCCTGGGTTCCAGAGCTCAGAGAAGACTACTTGGAGACAAAGCCAAGTGTAGTTATGGGAATGGCTGGGCTCAAAGCCAAGGGTAGGAGGAGGTGAATCCACAAGCCAATGAGAGTGCCTGGATGGGACCTTCCTGATAGTAAGAAATAAGAACAAACAAGCCAGACTGGGCAGAGGTTGGGATCCATGAGTCCAGACAGTCTGAAAATTGAGAGCTGAAACAGCTGATCCCGGGACTGGGGGCTTTGTGTTTTCCCCACATGAAAGAAGGCCAGTGGGTTGGAGGTGTGTGTGGTGAGTGGCAGATGCCATGGGATGTATGTGTATGTCACCCACCCACCTTTGACAGGCTGTACCTTCCAGTCTGATATTCCCAACTCTGGGTTAGTATAGGCCATGTTTTGTAGGGGACCTTGAGTGTTGCCAGACCATACTTTACTCCTTCCCTCCGGAAAAGCTCTTACATGTTCGGAGTCTGGGACTGGGAAGAATCCAGCTAGGGTGCATCCTTCATTATCCTACACCTACCCCACAAGAGCTCTGTCTGTAGGACATTCATATCTGTCCCTTCTTCCTTTTATATATATGCTTGAGTAATCCCTGCCTTTCCATTATGGAAGTGGAAACAGCCAAATTCTCCTCTGCAATAGAACAAGTATGTGTGTCTTGGGCTCAATCAAGCAGAAGCTTCTGCCCTAGACATTGAATCAGGTGTCAATGGAGCAAAGAAGCAGGGACATCAGACAAACCTTTCTGGTAACGTTGAAAGTAGCCACAACCACCAGCTCCTAGGGGAAGTGGGGCAGCAGTACCCATTGGACCATCCAGGGTCCATTGGGATGGTGTCATTGGTCCATGGAGTTGTGTCATAGCTGCAGTGTGTTTACAGGACTAGTTCTGTAGTGTCATTTTTGACTGTGGTTCTCTCCTCCCAATTCTGAGCCTGGGGTCTCTAGCCTCTCCACTGACTCTGTGTGCTAACTGATAAATACATTTATTTTTTGCTTAAGTTAGGATAGGATTCTGCTTCTAGCAACTAGTGGTCTAGATTGATACAGAAATTGGTACAGGCTTGTTTTCAGGCAATAGTCACTCAGGGAAACTGGGAGAGGGGTACCTGAGATTGGTTATTGGGCCATATTGTGGCTAAAGACAGTGAAAATACAGATGCTTTAGGAACATTCTTGTAGGTCATAGTATGCAATGCCGAATAAAACAGCTAACTGGACTATCTCCTGTGATCCACTATAATGAAATGCTCATTGAAGGTAAAAATTTTAGGTCTCAAGTGTCATAGAACATATCACAGGACAGTGTGAAGGGCATGAGGAATTCAGGGAGCAAGGGGTGGGAAGGTGGAGTCTAAAACTGCTGGATAGCTTAAAAAAAAAAAAAAGAATAAACTCAAAAGCAAAAATGATCGACTCAAAGCACAATCTGAAAATCAGAGAATTTCTGACAGTGTAAAAAGAATCTTTTTTCTTTTGAAGTTGCAAAGGTGAAACAGGCAAAAACCTAGTAATGCAAAATTTGATCAAGACATTGCTGGGTGGCTACAATCTTGTATGACTGTACTGATGGTTAGTGCTAATGAGCGCTTTATCCGAGAAAGAATTAAAGTCTGGAGCCGGGCTCATGAAAGGCTTTGTGAGACGTGTGGTGGTTTAGCAGGATGTTGAAGAGGGATAGAATTTCTGTAAGCAGATTTGGGGCAGATTTCATAAGGACAGGGATTGTGTCTGTCATTTTCATTTCTCTGTCCCTAGTACTTAGGGACAATCAATAAACAGAAAAATAGATCAATGGATAAGTGAGCAAAGATAAAAAGAGACAGCACCACACATATTTGAGGGTTACTGAGGACACTTTGGTGAAAACAGACTTTGTCTTAGTTATCTAGTGCTGCTATAAAAGAAACATCACAAGCAGGTGGCTTTAACAAACAGATATTTATTTTCTCACAGGAGGCTAGAAGTCTGAACTCAGGGTGCCAGCTCTAGGGGAAGGCTTTCTCTCTCTGTTGGCTCTGGGGGAAGGTCCTTTTCTCTTTTCAGCTTCTGTTCCTCAGCAATCTTCATGTGGCTTGGCATCTATCTTCCCCCACCTCTGCTTTTTTGCTGCTTGCTTAATCTGCTTGTTTATATCTTAAAAGAGATTGATTTAAGACACACCCTGCACTAATACTGCCACATTGACATAACAAAGACAACCCATTCCCAAATGGAATTATAACCGCAGGTATAGAGGTTAGGATTTACAACACATATTTTGGGGTGGGGTGGGGACACCATTCAATCCATAACAGAGTTCATGAAGAACACTGAGGGGTTAGATAGGTGGGTGTAATAACTTCAAAAGGGAGATTGAAGTCAGATTTTGGAGAGCCACAATCCAACGAATGTGTTTGAGGAACATTCCACTGTTGTGTCTTTTCCTTTAGAGCCAGTGTTCTCTCATGCTCCATCCCTCTAAGTCAGCAGTTCTTACCCTTTTTGTGCCATCTATTTCTTTGCCCGTTATTCTCAAGATATTTTTTAATGTATAAAATAAAACACATAAGATACAGAGGAAAATCGTATATGGAAACATAGATCTAGTCATGGACCCTTGAGGGCAAATGGACTGTTTGCAGAGGGGTATCCCAGGTACAGAGAAACTTGCTATTCTAAAACAACCCAGGAATTGTCAAAGGAGGAGATAATTTGTGGCAATGAGGTTCTGCCAGAGAGGAATAGCATTAAATTGCACTTGAAGTTGGCCCCGCCTGCCAGGAAATCTGTTGTTGGTACTTCATGGGGTAGACTCCAGCAGTGCAGACCGGAGGTAACTGTGAAAGGACCCACATTTAGTTCTTTGGACCCATTTATCTTCCCTGGGTTAAGGCAGGGCGGAAGCCGTGTGCCCCGGTCGATGCCCAAGGCCCAACCCCATTCTCAGGTCACCACCCTTGTCAGGTCCTTGTGACCCTCCCCCCATGGCAATCTCACCCCAACCTGTCAGGAACAATCTTCCTACCTCTTCTTGGCAAGTTTTCTTAGGCCCTCACACTTGCTGTGAAATATGAATCCCTCCAGGAAGTTTTCTCTGGGTGTGTGCCATTTTCCTCCTCCCCACAACCTGAGTCCTCTGAGGTTTCCTTCCTATCTTAGTCATCTAGTGCTGCTATAACAGAAATACCACAAGCGGATGGCTTTAACACAGAGAAATTTATTTCTTCACGGTAAAGTAGGCTAAAAGTCCAAATTCAGGGCATCAGCTCCAGGGGAAAGCTTCCTCTCTGTGTTGGCCTTCTCATCAACCTTCTCCCGGACTAGGAGCTTTTCCGCGCAGAAACCCCGAAGGACGCGCTTTGCTCCCAGCACTGCTTTCTTGGTGGTATGAGGTCCCCCTGTCTCTCTGCTCGCTTCTCTCTTTTATAGCTCAAGAGATTGCCTCAAGACACAATCCAACCTTGCAGACTGAGTCCTGCCTCACTCACACAACTGTCACCCATCCTCCTTCTTTACCTTCTAGAGGCAGGATTTACAGCATATAGGAAAATCACACAATACTGGGAATCATGGCCCAGCCAAATTGATCCACACATTTTTTAGGGGACATAATTCAATCCATGACACTCTCCCTCCTCCAGCCTTGCCCAATCTCTCTGGACATAGGTGGGTCTGGATCTCACATTCCAATTTGCCTTAACTCTGCCTTGTTCATGTTGATTTTTACGTTTCTCATTGGTCTGAAATTTTTATTCTGTCATATGTTACTCTATTTGTTCAAAGTGTCATAAGTTGTTTTGAAATACCACTGGCTGTGTTTTTTACCTTTTGAGTTACTTGGTTTTTCCTCCCTGAGTAAACTGGATAAATCTATCAAAGACAGAATTTCCACATAAGAGAAAATACTGAAGTGAGAGAGAATGAGAAAGACACAGAGAAAGAGTGTGTAAAGGACCCTGGGGCTTATCCAAGCCAACCTCTCCTGTATAGTATCTCCCATTTCCTATACCCCAGATATATCTCCTCTCTTGTTTTACTTTTTCATTTTGATGGGGCACATTATCGAGAAGCTTCTGGAGGTAAATTTTTTGTATCCTTGTAGATCTTAAAGTGTTTTTATTTTACCCCCATGGTTGATTGATAGTTTGGCTAGGTATAGAATTTTAGGTTAGAAATACTTTTTCTTCAGAAAGTTGAAGGCATTGCTCCATTATCTTATAGCTTTCACTGGTGCATTTTAAATGTCTGAAGTCATTCTGACTTTGATTCTTTAGTGTGTTATTTGTTTCTTGTCCCCTCTGGAAGCTTGTTAAATTTTATCTTTTCTCTAGCCTTTTGTAATTTCAGAATGATATGCCTTTATATGAGTCTATTCCTTCTTCTCTATATTCATTCTTTATGGGATGTCTATTCTATAGCTGTAGGACCTCCTGGACTGGTTAATTTTCTGATTTCTTGTCTCTTATTTTTATTTCTTTTTCTTTTTGCTCTAGTTTCTGGGATATTCCCTCAACTATATTTTCCAACCTTGCTATTGAGTTTTTAAAAATCTGCATTCATATGCTTACTTTCTAATAGCATTCCATAAATATTCATTTTTTTATTGTGGTGAAAATATACACACCAAAACATTCACCAATACAACTTCCCCATTTACAATCCAATGAAATTGATTCCATTTTTCATGTTGTCCCACCACTATTGCTATCCTTTTTCAAAATATTCCACCATCAGTAACATAAACTCAATGTCCTTCAGACAAAAAGTCCTCCTTTCTCTCTCCCTCCTGTGCCTGGTAACCAACTGTTAATAATTTTTGGTTTCTATATATTTGCTTATTTCGTACAAGTGAAACATACAGTATTTGTCGTTTTGAGACTGATTTATCTCTCTTAGCATATGTCTTCAAGGTTCATCCATGTTGTGGCCTGCATCATGACTTCATTTCTCTTTATGGCTAGTCGTATTCCATTATGTGTATATAGTGCATTTTGCTTACTCATTCATCTGCTGAGGAACACTTCAGTTGTTTCTACCTTTTGGCTATTGTGAAAAGGGCTGCAATGAACATTGATGTACAGGTTTATGTTTGCGTTCCTGCCTTCAC